CCTGGGTAGTTATTAGAGACCAGGCCCGTCCCCTGGGTAGTTACTAGAGACCCAGGCCCTCCACCTGGGAGTTGTTACTAGAGACCCAGGCCCCTCCACCTGGGGTTGTTACTAGAGACCCAGGCCCCTCCACCTGGGTAGTTATTAGAGACCCAGGCCCATCCCCCTGGGGTAGTAACTACAGACCCAGGCCCCTCCACCTGGGTAGTTACTAGAGACTCAGGTCCATCCACCTGGCTAGTTACTAGAGACCCAGGCCCCTCCACCTGGGTAGTTATTAGAGACCCAGGCCCGTCCCCCTGGGTAGTTACTAGAGACCCAGGCCCCTCCACCTGGGTAGTTACTAGAGTCTCAGGCCTGTCTACCTGGGGTTGTTACTAGAGACCCAGGCCCCTCCACACAGCCCTGGGCAGGTCCCTGGAAGGCGATTCCACCCACATTCCCGGGGCCCTGGCTGGCTGAAGATCCCACGCAGGCTGAGAGCGGGACACGGCTGCAGCTGTGCTCCCTGGGTGGGGGCTATAGCGTCAACAACGGCACCTGCCAAATGAGGAGGGTGCTGTCCATGTCCCCACAGGAGGCCGGCCTCCCGCCCACACCCGAGGCGCTGCCGAAGTTCCGGTAGCCCTGCCCGCCGGAGATGATGGCCACGGAGCAGATCTCCTTGCGGTGGGCGTCACGGGCGCAGGGCCGACTGCGCACCCAGACGTCAGGGTCGTCGGCCATCTCGTAGATGGAGCCGTCCTCCTCGCTGTGCTCCAGGGCGGAGCCATCGGCGGGCGCGGGTTCCCGCACAGAGAGCAGCGGGCCGGGGAGGTGGGCCGTGGAGCGCAGCCGGTACTGCAGGAGAATGCCCTTCTTGCGGGTCAGCTCCCGGCCCACGTGGCTGGAGGGCGCGGGCGCTGGCTCAGGAGCCTGCCCGTCCGGCTTGTCCTCCTCGGCCCTGGGGCCCTCGGCTCCTCTGGTCACTCCGTAGGATGTCCAGGCCAAGATGCTGTAGCCACGGCCAGGAGTCAC